TCTTATAACCTGTAATTCAACAAGTTTTCGTGTGTTTGCAACTATCAAACTTGCATCTTTTTGGCAGGGGATGCCCAGGGACATAGTAAATAATGTCACAAAAAAACTCTGAAAGCCAGTTCGTTATTCTGTTTTTTAAAGACATATTTAAAAAATCTAATAGACACTCTTAAAAAAATTGTTATTTATTTCAACTGCTCTTTTTGGTAAAAATTTCTTGTTACTCATTGATTAAACGAAGGGCGTACGATTTAAGAAAACATGATTCATGTAGGCAAGAATTAACTGTAGCTTTCTTTATAGTTGAAAGGCATGTGTTGAAGTTTTGCAAAAACATTTTTATGTTTGTTGGTTCATTTACTATGCAAGTCGAATGTCCTACATATTGTTTGTTAAATCTCTGCCTAGAAAATTTCATATAAATTTTCAACTTAAGCTGTGTTGGATTAAGGGATATAAATGCTGCCAGAATGATCAACTTCTGAAACATATTTGTGTTTTAGCAACATTTACTTTTTATTCAGAAAAGTATAAAGGATTATAAAGAAGAAAGAGAAGTGGCCCAAAATTTCACTGCCAGTTTAACTTATTAATTTGTTTCTGCTTCATATACTTTATTTGCAAGCATAAATACAATTGACATTTTTTAAAATAGAAATAATACATACAAGTGACTAGAAAATTTAAACTGTACGAAAATAATTCTTCAACATCATCCTCTCCCCAGAAATTTTTCCCAAGAAATTTTTCAGTGCATCTGTATTTCTTTCTTTTGAAAAACAATATGAAACATTTATACAGAAGTCTTGGTGCTGTACACTGGTTAGCCGTCTTGCTTTTTTCTCAATATCTCTTGACAATCTTCCCATACCAGTGCATGCAGATCTACCTTATTCTTTATTAACAGCTATATCACCTGCAGAGGTGCCCAGGTGAAACAGTGGTTAAAGTGCTCCGCTGCTAATGAGAGGCTGGTGGTTTGAACCGACCAGCTTCTCCATGGGAGAAAGATGTGGCAGTCAGCTTCTGTAAAGATTTTGTTGTTGTTAGGTGCTGTCTAGTCGGTTCCGACTCATAACCACCCTGCGTACAACAGAATGAAACACTGTCCAGTCCAGCACCATCTCACAATCATTGCTATGCGTGATCCCATTGTAGCAGCCACTGTGTCAGTCCATCTTGTTGAAGGTCTTCCTCTTTTTTTGCTGACCCTCTACTTTACCAAGCATGATCTCCTTCTCCAGAGACTGGCTCCTGCTGATAACATGTCCAAAGTATGTGAGACAAAGTCTAACCATCCTTGCTTTCAAGGAAAATTCTGGCAGTACTTCTTCCAAGACAGATTTGTTCGATCTTCTTGCAGTCCATGGTATATTCAGTATTCTTCCCCAACACTGTAATTCAGAGTCATCAATTCTTCTTCAGTCTTCCTTATTCATTGGCCAGCTTTCGCATGCATATGAGGCAGTTGAAAATATCATGGCTTAAGTCAGGCGCACCTTAGTCGTCAAAGTGACCTCTTTGCTTTTTAACACTTTAAAGAGGCCTTTTGCAGCTGATTTGTCTGATGCAATATGTCATTTGATTTCTTGACTGCTGCTTCCATGAGCATTGACTGTGGATCCAGGTAAAATGAAATCCTTGATGACTTCAGTATTTTCTCTTTTCCTTATGATGTTGCTTATTGGTCCAGTTGTGAGGATTTTTGTTTTCTTTATGTTGAGGTGTAATCCACACTAAAGGCTGTAGTTTCTGATCTTCATCAGTAAATACTTCAAGTCCTCTTCACTTTCAGCAAGCAGGGTTGTGTCATCTGCATATCGCAGGTTGTTAATGAGTCTTCCTCCAATCCTGATGTCGCGTTCATCACATACTCCAGCTTGCCAGATTATTTGCTGAGCATACAGATTGAATAATTATGGAGAAAAGATACAACCCTGACGCACACCTTTCCTGACTTTAAACCACCCAGTATCCCCTTGTTCTGTTCTCATGACTGCCTCTTGGTCTGTGTAGAGGTTCCTCATGAGCTGAATTAAATGTTCTGGAATTCCAGTTCTTCACAATGTTATCTATAATTTGTTATGACCTACACAGTTGAATGCCTTTGCGTAGCCAATAAGACACAGGTAAACATCTTTCCAGTGTTCCCTGCTTTCATTCGAGATCCATCTGACATCAGCAGTGGTATACCTCGTTCCATGTCCTCTTCTGAATCTGGCTTGAATTTCTGGTAATTCCCTGTCGATGTACTGTTGCAACCACTTTTGTATGATCTTCAGCAAAATTTTACTTGCGTGTAATATTAATCATATTGTCTGATAATTTCTACATTCTTTGGCATCACCTTTGTTTGGAATGGGCACAAATATGAATCTCTTCCAGTCGGTTGGCCAGGTAACTGTCTTCCAAATTTCTTGACATAGATGAGTGAGCACTTTCAGGGTTGCATCCGTTTGCTGGAATATCTCAATTGGTATTCCATCACTTCCTGGAGCCTTGTTTTTCACTAATGCCTTCAGTGCAGCTTGGACTTCTTTCTTCAATACCATCGGCTCTTTTTTTTTTTTTTTTTAAATTGTACTTTGGGTGAAAGTTTACAGCTCAAGTTACTCTCTCATACAAAATTTTATACACATATTGTCATGTGACACTAGCTGCAATCCCTACAATGTGACAGCACACTCCTCTTTTCCACCCTGGGTTTCCCGTGTGCATCCAACCAGCTCCTGTCCCTTCCTGCCTTCTCATCCTGCGTCCAGACAGGAGCCACCCATCTGGTCTCGTGTATCTGCTTGAACTAAGAAGCACGCTTTTCACGAGTATTATTTTATGTTTTATAGTCCAGTCTAATGTTTGAAGAGTTGGCTTCGGGAATGGTTTTAGTTCTGGGTTAATATAGCGTCCGGAGGCCATGGCCTCGGAGGTTCCTCCAGTCTCAGATCATTAATTCCGGTCTTTTTATGTGAGTTTGAGTTCTTTTCCATACTTTTCTCCCACTCTGTCAGGGATTTTCTGTTGTGTTCCCTGTCAGGGCAGTCATTGGTGGCAGCTGGGCACCATCTAGTTCTTCTGGTCTCAGGCTGTTAGAGTCTCTGGTTTACGTGGCCCTTTTGTCTCTTGGGCTAATATTTTCCTTGTATCTTTGGTGTTTTTCATTCTTCTTTGCTCCAGGTGGGTTGGGACCAGTTAATGTATCTTAGATGGCCGCTCACAAGCTTTTAAGACCCCAGATGCCACTCACCAAAGTGGGATACAGAACATTTTCTTAATAAACTTTGTTATGCCACTTGACCTAGATGTCCCCTGAAACCATGGATCCCAGACCCCAGCCCCAGCTACTCTGTCCTCAGAGTGTTTGGTTGTGTTAAACTTCTTAGCTTTTGGTTTAATCCAGTTGTGCTGACTTCCCCTGCAATACCATCGGTTCTTGATCATATGCTACCTCCTGAAATGGTTGAACGGCGACCAATTCTTTTTGATACAGTGACTGTGTGTATTCCTTCCATCTTCTTTTGATGCTTCCGGCATCATTCAGTATTTTGCCCATAGAATCCTTCATTGTTGCAACTCGAGGTTCAGATTTTTCCTTCAGTTCTTTCAGCTTGAAAAATACCGAGCATGTTCTTCCCTTTTGGTTTTCTAACTCCAGGTCTTTGCACATTTCGTTGTAATACTTTACTTTGTCTTCTCAAGCCCCCCTTTGAAATCTTCTGTTCAGCTCTTTGACTTCATCATTTCTTCCGTTCACTTTAGCTGCTCTATATGTTCTAGTTTCAGAGTCTCTTCTGACATCCATTTTGGTCTTTTCTCTCTTTCCTGTGTTTTCAGTGACCTTTTGCTTTCTTCATGTATGATGTCCTTGATGTCATCCACAGCTTGTCTTCAGTCAGTAGTGTTCAGTGCGTCAAATCTATTCTTGACATAGTCTCTAAATTCAGGTGGAATATACTCAAGGTTATACCTTTGTTCTTGTGGACTTGTTTTAATTTTCTTCAGCTTCAACTTGAGCTCACATATGAGCAGTTGATGGTCTGTTCCACAGTTGGGTCCCTGCCCTTATTCTGACTGATGATACTGAACTTTTCCATCATCTCTTTCCACAGATGGTAGTCGATTTGATTCCTTTGTATTCCATCTGGTGAGGTCCACGTGTATAGTCTCCATTTATGTTGTTGAAAAAAGGTATTTCCAATGAATAGGTCATTGGTCTTGCAAAATTCTATCATGCCATCTCCGGTGTCGTTTCTATCACCAAGGCCATATTTTCTAAATACTGATCTTTCTTCTTTGTTTCCAGCTTACACATTCCAATCACCAGTAATTATCAGTGCATCTTGATTGCATGTTTGATCAATTTCAGACTGCCAAAGTTGGTAAAAATCTTCAATTTCTTCATCTTTGGCCTTAATGGTTGGTGCATAAATTTGAATTATAGTCGTATTAACTGATCTTTCTTGTAGGTGTAACGATTTACAGCCTTGGAAACTCTATGGGACAGTTCTGTTCTGTCTTATAGGGTTGCCATGAGTATGAATCGACTTGACAACAGTGGGTTGGGTGCGTATATCACCTGGATGGGCCATAATTATTTTTCACAGTCTGTATCGATACACATTTAGATTGTCTCCAGTTTTTTTGTTATGCTACAGTGAAAGTCCTATTAATATTTTGGCATGGAATAATTTCTGAGCAGTGGGATTGCTGGGTCAAAGGGTATGTGCATTTACAATTTTGATCAAATTGCCACCAAAGGTTACACCAGTTTTCACTCCCAGCAACGGGGAATGCAGCATACTTGTTTCCCCTCACCTTTGCTAGCACTGAGTATTAACAGACTTTAAAAAAATTTTCTACCAATTCAGAAGGTGAGCTAAATTATTATTTCTAAGTAAGGAAAGTAGGCAGAATTTTTAAAATACTTCATAGGATTTAAAAGTTTTTAAAAAGGCTAGTATTCTTATTTCTGTTTTTATTTTTTTTATGTTTTACAAATTAAGAGATGAAATTGGACTGATCCCATGTCCTGAAGCTCGGTATAACCGGAGTCCCATAGTCCTGGTTGAAAACAAACTTGGTGTGGAGAGCTGGTGTGTCAAGTTCCTTTTACCATATGTCCACAACAAGCTCCTTCTATACAGAATGAGAAAGCAGTGGCTGAACAAAGATGGTAAGTATGAACAATATCCTCTTCCCTTCTTTGGTTTTTAGAAGCAGTATGGGATATGCTGGGAAGAGTCCTGGTCTGAGTGTTGACGTTCTGGATTCTAGTTCTGGCTCTACCATACACTGCCTGTGCAGGTGCCTTACCTGTCTGTTAAGTGAGGAGGTTGGTTTGGGAGAGGAATGATACTGTAATTCTCAGGACTAGATCAGTAGTTTTCAAATTTTGTATTTGTAGTGATTCTGTGGAAGTGCTTCAAGTAGGATTTCAGGCCACCTACTGCAACCAGAGTGATTCTGATTTTATCTGTTTCATGTATTGGGGTCATTTGTAAGATTTTACTTGACAAAAGCTTTCTTGTGGCTTAAAAAAACAAAAATGTTTGCCTGTCCCTGAAATGATTTCTAGTCCCTATAAGCTCAGGGTCTCTGATTTCTAATCCTTTAGTATTTTATAGGCAATAGAACTCATTTTAGTAGCAGTCCAGATGATATAACGGAGGCATGATGGTGGTAGTTACATTGTGCATGAGCTCAGTGATTTATGAAGGTTCTATTGCTCTGTGAATCCCACTCGAGCTCTGGCCCTCTGTGTCCTGTTCCTATATGGAAATGAGCAAAGGAAAGCCATCCCACCAGTCACTTCTTCCACTCCTCTGAGACTATGCTTAACTGCATCAGACAATCCCTGTTTGTTCCACTCAGTATCTTTTCTTAGTGCTTCCCGATAGGTGATATTAAGCCTCCTGTGCACAAATCTGTTAATCCTTTTAGGCTCACTTCAAGTCTCACCTTTTTGGGGAGTACTCATCTAAGACTATGTCCCAGACTGTTTTTGTAAAGCTTCTTTCACTTCCCACATCCAGAGGTACCTTTAAAAGTGCTCAGTATTGCCTGGAGGTTGATTGTGAATAAGAATTTTGTTTCCTAAAGAATTTTATTCAGTTCAATAGCCATTGTCAAGGGCCTACTCATGCTAGAAGCTGTTCTAAATACTGTGAGAGATTAAAAAGATGAATAGTACACAGTCCCATTACTCAGAAACTTAAAATTGAGTGAAAAACAGTCTCTTTTTTGGGAGGGGGGATGTGGAGGAGAGTGTTGCCAAAGATATGATAGACTGATTTCCTTGAACTCCTCTCAGCACTGTCCTTAACATACTGCTGTAATACAGCACATTTCCCTGTTTGGACCAGTAGAAAAGGAGTCTGGTTTAAAGATTTAGTGTGAAATAATTTCAGTGATTATTTCCCTTAACTTATCCTTTGATAGATATTTTTTAATTAGAAGTCTGTGCCCAAATTTTGTTTGAAGGTAAGGTTATTTATCTGTTGTTAGACTCACTTCCTTTAATTCTTCATTCCATCACTATATTGTAGGTTTCAATAACACTAAGGTAGAAAGGATGTAACACCTTATGAATCCATCAAGTTATTTTATGCCAGCCAAAGCTGTATTATGTGGGATCCAGTGTGCAGAAATGTGTAATTGAGTCAGCATAGAGCTAACTCTGGGTGAGATAGAATGATTATCTGAAGAGAAGAAACAAGTATGAATTTTAAAATGTCAAAGGGAGCAGGTGTCTCAAATCATTAGCCTTTGCCCATTCACATGCACTAGCTCAACCTGCCTCCTTCTTGCAGCCTTCCGAGTCCTTTTTCCATTTCCCTATTTCTTGTACTTGGTGGACGCTGCACTGCAGACTTGGTGTCTCTCCTCATCATGTGGTTTTAGTCTTGATATGCCCAAGAGGACCCAGGCAGCCGATCAAGTGGTTAAGCTAACTCAGACCAATAGCTGACATCTAAACTTTGAATTCTGATGCAACTGTTAATGTGTACAGGAGGATCTTCTGATTTTTCCTAAATTATACCCCATGGAAGCAGTTTTCAGTTTCACTTTTTTTTTTTGAAGCATAGTTTAGTGTGGTGTCACATATTACTTTAGTTGTATATTGTATTATCAGTATAAATAAGGAAGTGAATGTCTGGTTTGACAGGACAAGATACCTGAAAATGACAATTGGGTAATATAAAAGTATTCTGCAAACTTGTGAACCGAAGCATTTAGAACACAGAGGTGAATCTTGCTGAGAAAAAGCTGTCAAAAATGTTGGGAAAAGCAGCTATTTTATGAAAATGGTATACCTCGAAAACTGTTGCTGTAGAAAATATTATATGTATTAGAAGAGCCACATGCAAGTAAAATTTTGCTGAAGATAATTCAAAAGCAGTTGCAGCAGTACATCGACAGGGAACTGCCAGAAATTCAAGTCAGATTCAGAAGAGGACGTGGAACGAGGGATATTATTGTTGATGTCAGATGGATCTTGGCTGAAAGTACAGAATGCCAGAAAGATGTTTACCTGTGTTTTATTGACTGTGCAAAGGCGTTTGACTGTGTGGATCATGACAAATTACGGATAACATTGTAAAGAATGGGAATTTCAGAACACTTAATCATGCTCTTGAGAAACCAGTACATGTACCAAGAAGGGTGTGCGTCAAGAAAGTCAAAAAAGGTGTGCGTCAGGGTTGTATTCTTTCCCCATACTTATTCAGTCTGTATGCTGAGCAAATAGTCTGAGAAGCTAGACTGTATGAAGAAGGATGTGACATTAGGATTGGTGGAAGACTCATTAACAACCTGCGATATGCAGATGATACAACCTTGCTTGCTGAAAGTGAGGAGGACTTGAAGCACTTACTAATAAAGATCCAAAGCCTTCAGTATAGATTACACCTCAGAAAACAAAAATCCTCACAACTGGACCAATAAGGAACATCATAATAAACAGAGAAAAGACTAAAGTTGTCAAGGATTTCATTTTACTTGTTTCCACAATCAATGCCCTTAGAAGCGGCAGTCAAGAAATCAAATGATGTATTGCATTGGGTAAATCTGCTGCAAAAGGCCTTTTTAAGTGTTGAAAAGCAATGATGTCACTTTTGAGGCCTGATCCAAGCCATGATATTTTCATTTGCCTCATACGCATGTGAAAGCTGGACAATGAGAAGGAAGACTGAAGAAGAATTGATGCCTTATGGTGTTGGCAGAGACTATTGAATATACCATACACTGCCAGAAGAATGAACAAGTCTGTCTTGGAAGAAGTACAGCCAGAATTTTCCTTGGAAGTGAGGATGGCAAGACTTCATCTCACGTACTTTGGACATGTTATCAGGAGGGATCAGTCTCTGGGGAAGGACATCATGCTTAGTAAGGTAGAGGTCAGCAAAAAAGACGAAAACCCTTGACAACATGATGTGACACAGTGGCTGCAACAATGGCCTTAAACGCAGGATGGCGCAGGATCGGGCAGTGTTTCATTCTGTTGCACATAGGGTCTCTGTGAGTCAGAACTGACTAGACACCACCTAATAACAACAACAACAATTAGAAGAGCCAAGTAAAGAAAGCTGGCAATTTAAAGAACAGTTTCAGAAATGTCAGTGTTTGTGTGATTAATCATGCTGGAATCTTAGGTATCCACCTAAGAATGTATTATGTGACTGAAGGTGACCTTTACTTTTGAGATAGAGTTTTTTCTTGTTAACTTAACAGAATTTATGCTCTCATTAATGTGCCAAAGTCCTTGGGTGTTTGGAAAGCATGCCTGTTTAATTACTTGACAAGAGATTGATTTAAAAAAAAAAAATCTGCTGTAGTAATAGCCATATTTGGCTTGGGAGAGGAATGATACTATATTTCTCAGCTATGAAACGTCACTGATTTTTGAGAAATCCATGACAAATACAAAAAGCAGGTAAGAGAGAAGACCCCGCTAGGTATTGGAGTCCTAACTGGACAGAACTCCTTTCTGCTCTCTAAGTGTCCAGTGTGCCTCTTATGCCATCTTCTTTTGCTTTGCACTCTTACAGCTTCCACTGTCTGTCTATAACTGAGCTCTCTCTCTGAAAGCCATCTTCTACTCTCCATTTATTTTGCTGCGTAGATCCTCATTATTTCTCATGTAGACTGATGTGATTACCTCAGTGGTCTACCTTATTTTCTGTCTCTCTCCTACAGTCCATGTCCATCATGCAAAATAACACCTACCAACAATACTTCTAAAAACACAGCTTCAGAGATGCTGTTCTGAAATATATAGCTGCTTATGTTATTTCATGATGCCTAGAGAATCAGGGTAGATTTCAAACTCTTTAGTGTGGCATTCAAAGCCTTTCACAGTCTGTCCCCAGCCTATGTTACCACCCCTTTTCTCTACTTTATACTCAGCATCAGAGGTTGCAGATATCAGCCACCAGGCTGAAGCCTGCCCACAGATACATTTCGTTTTGGCTCATAGGGTATTTTTAAAGATTGTTTTTAATTAGTTGCCAGTGTTTAAAATCAGGATGAAAATCTGGATTTCCGTCTTTGCTTAAAAACATCAGAAGCCCTGGGTACAAGTTTCTACATGGCAGCAATTGCCCGGGGCTGATCGCTTCTACCTTTCTTGACTGGGCAAGCCTATTGCAGTTTACCACATCTTCCAGTCACTGAAGCAGTGCCAGTTGCCATTTATCATCAGGTTTGCTTTGTTGCTTCTTTGACATTCATTTGACCCCTAGAAGTATTTGAGTTTGCAACTATTGATTGCATAACATACACTGTTCCATTCTTTGACATTGCTGTGTACTACTGTCTTCCATGCCTTTGCTGAGGCCAGACTCACGTATCGTTTATGTTACCATCATCATCATGGTTGCCAGCACACACACATCCCTAATGCCCTATGTACATCACATGTATACATTCGCATGCTCTTTCTCACCCTGTGTGTGTGAGCACTCCCCCACACACACACCACATACACAACACTAGGAAGCCTCTTTGACCTCTCCAGGAAGCAGTAATTGCCACTCTGCATTTCTGTTGGAGTCCTTTTTTCAGACTGCTTGCATAGTAGCACTTCCCACCCACCCTGTATTATTTATTTAATGGCCTTTTCCCCAGCTGGATTGTGAGTTTGTTAGAAACATGGACTGTGGCTTGTTTTTGTTT